GAATCTACATGTAAAATGACATTTAGAAATATGGTTGTGAAAAGAGTTAATCAACTTTGAAAATTTGATTTTCTTTGAAAATGTGACTTCTAGGTCGGGGAGATTCCCCATAGACCCCATGTTGTAAAACCACAAAAGGTGAAATATTTTTTCTTGTGTTAGGCAGATAATATTTTCTTTTACTAGACACATTTTAATTTGTATAACTATCAGATACATAAGGGTAATATGAAAAGTGAACCACTAAAACTGATGCATATTCAAGTTTAAGGAAATTTTGTAATACCCTGTCATGTTAATTCCCCCGAATCAGCCACCTGGTGGCGAAACTGGTAACTACCTACTCGCATCTGAGTAATTATGACAACTGTGGCTTAAATCTATGAGTTACAATCTTAATACGCCTTTTTAAAAATAGGTAAAACATACAACGGGTATGATTTACTAAAATAAAGAGCATAAACGTACATGGAGGAGGGGGAGATGGTAGACAGCAGGGCTTGGGTTCGTACTCCTTTGAAGAACCAATACAGTACGTTGAACTAGAATACCCACGTCCGACGCAGTAGCACCGACGGGTTCGATAACAAAGGGAATTTCCTGGCCTATAGCATTGTGGCGTCGATGGTAGTCCACTTGCAACACAATCTCCGTTTATCCACGATCCCCATGGTTTCCAGTAGCATACTGGATCTTAATGTAGATAATAAGAGTATTACGTCGTGCCATTATGATATGCTAAGACATATGCCATGTTATGAATAATTGCCTACAGAATCATTAGGTGAAAACTGTACATGGTGCAGTGGAGAGCAGTGTAATGCAGTGCAGTGCAGTGTAATGCAGTGCAGTGCAATGCAGTAATATCCCAAAATTGATAATATTAGATCACTTAGAGTGATGTTTTTGAGAGAATTTTAGACGTTGGCTCTCACAGGAACCAAACACAAATTTCTGAGGCAAATACATAATATTTTTTTCGCCAAAAAAACTCCATGATTTTACTCCGATATTTCTTTTTAAAATGCATGGATTTCAATAAAATAGTTGGCAGGATTTGCAGAACTCAAGAAACTTCTTTAAATGGGAATCGAAACCAGCCATATTCTCCTGACGACCGTTTTTTTGAATTATGATAGTTTATGGCGTAGGGTTTGCGGATGGTTGTTGACCCTTCGATACGCTTGCGGACTTTGTCGACTTGACTATCCAACATCATTTGAGACTGAATGATTGTATCTACAACTATCTTTAATATCAATTGTATGGACATAATAAAACGTATTCTGTTTTATGAGTATGAACTATCGAACAATCCATTTTGAGGGCTCGTCGCAAACATACTTTTTTAACGAGTTGAAAGAAATCGCAGCACATGATACATTTTTTTATGTTGCCTGAATTTATATTAGGAAACTTTGATTTTTGTCTAAAAAATCACCATTAAAGGTTTTCTAAGAATTAATAACCAATGTTTTTGGTTTATATCGCATGGTCATGATAGTCAGTTGTGCTAACATCAAAATAGCACACATTAAATGACGTTGAATGTTAACACACATTACAGAACTCGAATATATTTGAAAATATCAATTATCGTAAATTTGCCCATAAATCAAGCTATAAAGAACTGATTTGAATATCGTGAAATGATGAATTATAATGATAAAAACACACATCAGTGAAAAAAGAGAGCAATTTGAAACATGTACCTTGTTTTCATGAACCAAAAACTGCAGACGAAGAGCTGAAAACGATTCCCGACACTCCAGCTGATCAAATTACATTTTTTAGAAAGTACCTTAGGGTATCACGAGTAATTGGTGCAAATATGACAAAGATTGGCTACATATCATGTGAGTATTGGCATTTGACAAATTGAAAGATGCACGTTTAAAATCCACAATACACAATGAGACCTTCAGAACGTTTGTGCCAGCTATCGGGGTATTTTTAGTTTTTCCTTGATCATTGAATAAATACGTTATTCAATGATTTCTCGTGAAAATACAGAAAATATTGTGCCCGAGAAAGTCTGTATTTCACTACCATTATTGAATAACTTATACTGTTTCGTTGCATCTTTTAGATCATAGTTTGGCATTTTTCTTTATTCTCCTTATAGACGTTACACTACTTCATATACTGAGTAAAACAATTTCTACAAAATCGGGTGAAAATGCGTTTTGATTAGTAACGTTTATAAAGAAGATATAATCGAATGTACACTTATATGTGTAACTAATCAAAGGAAAATGTTAATGAAATGACAACATTTGAAACTTACTACAAGTTGGGACAGGACCATCCCAATGTCCAGTGCTTAAGCATTTTATACTGTCCTTCCCGACGATCGGATAACCGATGTTACATACGAATCTAATCACTTCCCCAACGTAATATGGTTCAGTATCACTGCCTTCAGCCCTTCTTCCGTTTTCTGGTGCGTAAGGTTGGGGAGGGTAGCATATTACTAAAAGAGTTTATATACATACAGATTTTTTTCATCGAACAGCAGCAATGGCTGCTAATTTTTTACAAAATCCCTACACTGACCTTTCAGTTATATCAAAAATCGACAGAAAATGACAAATGGAAACCCACTAGCCAAATTGTAAATGTTATATGTTTAAGTACACATATAAAATTTCAACAAGATTGCTCCATTACTTTTTGAGTTATAGAAAAAACGTTAAATGCCAACGTGTCATAAAATAATGTGCCCTGCTGTTGATTATTCATATATCAAGTATAGACAAAATTGCACTACTATTTTTTCCAGTTACAGCAAAAAGCGTAAAATAGCATGTAACGGCCGCCTTCTTCAAGATGGCAACCATATTTTTAAATAGATATATTTTAAAATGAATACATACTGTACATTTTTCCATTCAAAATATCTAAGCACAAGTGCCAAAGGGAAAGGACCAAACGTTTTAATGGAACCTAGCAAAATCTAAGTGTATACCAATCATAACAAGGCATTAACATGACAAAAGGCCAGATTTGAGGCAAAAATCTTTGGGTAACAATGATTTCCCATACCAAAAAGATTTACAGTATGCATGTGTCTGACTGGGATGTATGGAAGATGAGCGGGTATGGATGGGTAGGAATGTATGGTGTGAAAGGAAGAACGTTTGGAGGTTGCTTTAAAATGTAAAATGTAAGAAGTTTAAACTGAAATAAAATAAAAACTACAAAAAAAATACCAAAAAGACTCCCGTGCTACGTACATAATCTTCTTAAAATTTATGCATCAAGACAAGACCCGAATTCTCTTTCAGCAATTGGTATTAAAAAGGTCAAGACATATGCAACGTTTTAAATATTGGTGCATACTCCGGAGTCATGTCACAGACCATGCGTTTTGTTTATATTGCTAGTGGTGATACTGGAAATACATTGTGAAACGTGCACCTACTTGGAGGGGGTGTGGTTGTTGGTGGTGGGATGCAACATGCTTTGTATTCAGTCTCTTCAGAAGGTCCACTGCAATACTTTGAATCGCTGTAGCCCCGTCCCTCACAATAACACTGACGCGTTCTATAGCACTTATATTTCCCTGGCAGATGTAGAGGCGATGGGCAGCTGTTGTACGGTGGAGGTCGTCCTAATTTCACACATGTGCCCTTAATCCATGTTCCCCAGGGTTTCCAGTAACATCCTTTCGAAAATTTAACAAATCAAAAAGTGATTTTGTGAGAATTACATACATATATTAAGCGGGGAAAAACTCTATATTTTTCGATTGATAATAACCTATTCATTAGTGCAGTTTTAACTTACAAGATTTGCATAATGATACAATGTTTATTTCTTGAAACCATTTTGCAAATATATAGGGGTATTATATGAATTACTATGATGACAAAACTGAAAATGATAATAAAGTCACGTTGAGCAAATCAATGAGTCGTTGTCCAACTAAAATAAAGTGCGAAAAAGTATTTGATTTACTTATTCAAAGTCAGATAGATAACCCAAGAAGATCTCCAAAATGAATAAATAAATGACTGATATTTCTCGATCAATTATCCGTCATATTTCAAAGTACTGCAACAGGCTGCTGAGTATATGTAAAAGGAAACAGGTACATCAACTCAATCAGAGACAAAAGGATCACTGATCAATGGGTCAAGTGTTGCAAAAGACTCTAAAATTCAAAGAGGAAATATGTGTTTACTTTGTAAACATTGTTTATAAATAAATGTTAGTAAGGCCAGCCATAGCTTCGGCTCCGCCCACACTGTCACTCTGTAATTGTCAATCACTGAACAGTCGTTCCGCAACGTTCCAAACAATTGAACATCCATTCTATCTTAAGATATCATTCATTCAGTTTTCGAAGTAGCGAACGACACAACGAGATTCAAACATTTTTCAAAGTTGATTATTCATCACAAACACAAATATCATGCCACCTAAAAAACGACGTATTTCCTATCCTTCATCAGAACATATGAAGGAAGAATTGTCAGACATAGGGATAAAGATTAAGAAAAAGATTTCGCTCACAGCGTTGAGAAACTTGTATATGGACAATGTTATGAATGATGACGCTAACGACGGAATTATACCATCCGAGGAGCAGGATGAAATCGAAATCGGCCCTATCGTACCTCCCGTACCAGTAATGTCTGAAGAAAGAAGAATTATCAAGGATCTTGAAAATAAGGTCGAAAATCTTACTGACGTCGTGAGTTCCCTTGTTAACCAACAGAACATACCGTTCGCTGCTGGCTCAGCTGAGCAAATAGAGAATTCGGCGGCGATAGAGCCAAGACCACGAGATGGATCATCATCAGCAGGCCTCGGTTCCAAAGGTATTCACCCGAATTCTTTACCTATTGTAGACATTATTTCACCCGGGGTAAGAAAGGCGATACAATCCGGGAAATATGTCAACTTAGCATGTTTGCTAGTGCCGTATTACGAACTTTCGAAAACACCAGCATTAGATACGGATGATGACGGAAAACTCTGTCTGAAGCCCATCAACATGGACAATGACCCAAAGCTTAAAGTCTCTCTTAACATCGCCGAATTTATCACAGCGTTTGACAAGTATAAAAGGGTGATGTGTGAAAAATTCCCAGGAAGACGCGATGAGCTTGATAGATACCAGCATGGTATTTTAGAACTTTATAACTCCTACCCTGGCCCAAAATTCTACGAGTACCATAAGCGTTTCAGTTCCCAGGCATGCGCTGCCTGGATAAATCTGCAAATAAAGGTCGATTGGGGCTGCAGAAATTCGGACTTATGGCAACTTGTACTGAATAGTAAGATCGGCGACAACGTCAAGACACATGTTAGCTCTTCGTCAACAGGAAGCAACATGCTCAACCGCTCAAAGGATATGAGAGGCCGCTCTATACAACGCAACGATGGCAGGGAGATTTGTAATAATTTCAATAGTTCCCGTGGTTGCACATATGCAGATTGCAATAGAGCACACGTTACAAAACAAACGTCTGAAACCGCTGATGTCAATTCCGTAACTAAAAGTGGAAATAACTGACTAGAACCTAATCTCATGGTAGCGTCCACTCCTGTAAACGTCAAAAAATTAGCATCCGAGTTAAAAATGCACCCAGACAAAAACTTCGTGCAATATCTTTGTACTGGACTTACAAACGGATTTGACACCATGGTTAGCGAAATTCAATTGCCGACACTCGAATGCCGTAACCTTCTTTCGGCTAGGAAACAACCGGAGGCAACTACGGAGTTATTAAAGAAGGAACTAGAAAAAGGATATGTTCTCGGCCCTTTCAAAACACCTCCCTTTAAAACGTTTAGGGTAAGTCCAGTCGGCATAGCAGTTGGAAAATATTCTAACAAAAAACGGCTTATTGTTGACCTGTCGTCATCCCACGATGATTCCGATTCTGAAAGTATAAACGATCTCATAGACAAAAACGCATGTTCTCTAAGCTATGTTACCATAGATGATGCGATTAGGGGGATTATTAAAAGAGGCCGTAAATCAATGATGTGTAAATTCGACATCCAGGATGCTTTTTAAATCATCCCTATTGATCCAAGGCAATGGCATCTTTTCTGTGTAAAATGGATGGGAAACTACTACGTGTGTCCACGGCTGTGTTTCGGATGCAGATCATCGCCAAAAATCTTTGACAATATATCTCAGGCAGTATGTTGGATCGCGGAGCACAAATATAACGTCGATTTTGTAATACACCTCTTGGACGATTTTCTAACAATCGACGGTGATCCCGATACCGGTCTTAGAACCATGGCCATTATGACACAGATTTTTAACGTACTTAAAATCCCCCTTGCCGCCCACAAATGCTTGTGGTGTTTTGGTTTGTGGATGTGGTGTTGGTTTGGTGGTGTGTGTAGTACGCATGTGGTGGGTTAATTTGTTTTTCAATAGTCTGGTTGTTTTGCGATTTGTTTTGGCTTCGTGTTGCGGTGTGTGTTGTGTTGGTGGCATGTCTTGTTAAGATATTAACTTGATTTGGGGGGCCGTCTTACTGCTTATGGATATTCTTGTTTTCCGTGTGTTGCGGAATTGTTGTCGGTTTTATAGAAAGATGTCGCTCTTTGTTAATTCGTTCGGTTACAAGGGGTGATATTTTTTAAGATTGGTAGGTAAGGGTACTTTCGGTGAGTTCGAAGTGTATCAATGGGCCTGGTAAGGTTATATTGTTGGTGTGGGTAGTTGTTTTATGTAGTTGTATATGTGTGTTTATAATTGGTTGTTACATTCATCCATTCATTCACTCATACATTGGTTAGTTATTTTAATGAATTTGGGTTATAATTCATAAATGTTATAACTCTTTTGGTACAGATAGGTGGCCATGAAAAGGGCCGGGTGTTTGTTGTTGATTGTTAGCTGCTGCGTTGGTTGGGTGTTGTGGCTTGTTTCCGTTTGGATCAGTATTTTGAAGCTGTGTTATTTAGCTCCTTGGTAGTTTTCTCTGCTTCCGTTTTACCCATGGTGTTGGCAAGTTTGCTGGTGAGGGTGTCCACCTGTCACAGCGAAAATGGCAAAGTATCCTGCCTGTTGGATACTTGTGGGATATTTTATGAATATGAATACATCCTTAAGAATCCATGATAAATACTCTAGGTATCACGATTTCGGAGATTCATGGATACTATTGAGGGACGGAACACTAATATCCAGAACTATCCGTAGTTCTGGATACTACTGGTATATGTCTCGTTTCTTCACGTATACTTAGGGATTCAACTGCTCACTACTACTGGCTACTCACAAATATGGCTGGATATTCAATTACATTCTCAGGATATTTAGGGATACTTTTGGAATATTCATAATTACGATCGGGATTTTACACATACAGCAAGGATATTCTCGTTCATACCTCAAAAACTCAAGCGAGCTATTTATATATATGACATGTCCAAATATCTATGTACTTTCAATCTAGAGAGAATACGTTGATATATTTAGAGCATTTTTATGTAAAAAGGTCTCCTTGCACAAACTAAACACGAAGAGAGGCATTTAATTATGTACAGTACCAACTGACGACCTTCTTCGATTTAGGAACTGCTGTTTACGATCATATCATATTAATATACTATATATTTCGACTTTGAAGATGCTTCAAAGTTTATCCCAGGGGTCCAAATAACGTTCTTCTCAATTTTTGATAGCGCGCCGACGTCAGAGAGCACACTTCCGGTTTAATCGGCTCAGCCAGGAAATATGCAATGGCGACTTATATTTGTGTTTGTTACCTTATTTCGAAGCCATTTTTCAGTGTCTTCGAATATCGAAATGTAGTCAACAAAAGCTCGACAGTAAAGTGCATAAAATCATTTATAAGATGAATTTACGTTTATATCGTGAAAGTATTACCGAAGTCAGATAAAACGAGAAAACTACAAAATGCACACGCAAAAATTCGACGGATTCACAGTTTTATTCAAATATTTCAGCCGACATGAAGGAAATGTTGTTTCTACTCGAGTCGTTTTTAACTTTAATACATGTTCCGTGCTTAGAAGCAAATGTTTCATCGTGGAGCGGCTTATTGTTGATGTAATCGTCGATTGAATTTCCCAACCTAACACAAGTTTTTCGATGGCAGCCATTTTGAGTGGTTTAGATATCACGAAGAGGATGTTGTTTCAGCAGTAGTAAATACGCATACACTCCCCACCATAAGTTTGGGCAATCTTAGCTCCCCCATTGAACTACGTGTTAAAGCCTTTTTACATTTGAATGAAATGATGAAATGACTAACAATATTGATGGAAACGTAACTTGACTTTATTTCCAATACCTCAAAATTTTTTCCTCAATTACAATAGGTCGAAAATTGATGATAAATTTGTTATCCAATGGAAAATGGAGGGTTCGGGGCAAATCAACTTTGTTGAACCTGAAGAAACATATCAATTTTTTGTTTAATAACGATAGCCTGCCTAACTCGTATTTTTTTGCAAGAACTCGGCGCGGATGGTTGTATATTCTGTCATATGACCTGCGGCAAACCTACCATTTCCCATTGGTTAACATGGGAATGTCGATTTTCAAAAATTCACCAAAATCATCAATCTTCGACTTATTGTAAAGGAGGAAAAAAATTGAGAAAATTTGGAGGTATAGTGGAAATAAAGTCAAATTACGTTTCCATCAATAGTATTTTCATCCCAGGTTAAGTAAATAAAGATTCAAAGGTAAAGAAGCTTTAACACGTAGTTCAATTGGGGGGGGGGCTAAGGTTGCCAAACTTATGGAGGGGAGTGTATGTCATGCAATCTGTATTAATGGTGAGAGGTCTCGTTTGGGGGCCTGGGAGACAAGGTCTAGTAGTTTACTTGGGTATAACGACTGCCGAGTCGTATCCAGTGATCCTGGGCCTATCGTAAAATGAAAGCTTTGAATATCACGGGTAGTATCTAAAGCCCCGCTATGATTTCAAAATCGCGAGCAAGTTCCCGCTGAAATCGCGAGGAATAAAAAGAAGTCATGGGTTCTTTTTTGTGTTCTTGAATTGTATGAGTTACAAAACGTTTTCTTTTGATTTTTCCCAATGATTACATGGTATTGAGACTAAAAAAGCAACTGCTGGAAAAAATGTATCACGAACGGTCGTTCTGTGGTTCGTTATTTGTTAATTGAAGAGCGAAAGTATCATTTTGAATCTTTATCTTTATATTTCTATACGTTATTGGTGAAGAACGATGTTGTCCTGTGGTTGAAATAACGATAGTGATATGAAATAAAGATGTACCGAGTTTCACTTCCTAAAGCTTTACAGAACATTTTATATTTAAATTTTATCATATCCCTCAAGGCCCC